ACAGCAGCAAACATGGAAGAGATCAGGCGATTGTTCGACCGGTTTACAACAGTCTCAGACATGACGGTCAACTGGGGTAATAAAACCCTGGGATGGTGGATCCACCATCAAGGGGCGCGCCCCCCCGAACTCCCGCAGGTCAAATGGCTCCCAGAATCGGCCCCGGTCAGGGTGTTGGGAATCATGCTAACAGCACTAGGCAAGCCTGCATCGAATGACGAATGGATTCTAAAGCCCGCTCTAGAGAAGTTAGTTCACTGGAATGACCGTCATACCTCTCTCATTGGCAGGGCACTGGCGATCAACAGCGTGATACTGGCAGCCCTCTAGTACAAATCTGCAATTTGGGCTCTCAGCAAGGAGGCCGTTCGAGCACTGAAGCGACAGGTAACCGCCCTATTATGAAGAGGCAACGGTGAACTTTCAAATGTCATCAGCAGGGTAGCATGGCTTTCGGTGATTCAACCTAAAGACAAAGGGGGCCTGGGGATCCTAGACTCTGATACCCAGATCAAGGCATTAACAATTCAATGGATCAGGAGACTTCTCTTCACTCAACACCTCCCATGGCATGCCCTCGCGTTGGAACAAATAGCGAGGCTTGCCCCGCAGGCACCGCAGGGAGTTAACCCACTAACCTGGCTGGAAGACCTTCACTGGACAATCCCACGGTCCCGTCGAAACGGGCAAGCTCCGGCCCATGCCACAACCCGCTCAGATCTGGTCAGGGACGACTTCTGGGCCCGAGTGCTGCATGCCTGGCGACAACTCCTGCTACCCGACAAAGTTCCGCCAACCAGGTGGGAAGAGGTAGCACGCCAACCCCTCTTTGGGAACAGACGGATAACGGGTCGGAACAGCAGAGTGTACTGCAGTTTAAGCACCCCGTGGAACAGCTGGGTTAAAAAAGGTGTAACCAGAATAAAAGATATATGGGACACACAAGCAGGAGACTAGAAACATGCGCAGCAATTAAGGAGTGCACTAAAGTATTGTCACAACGTGGAAGAGCACCTCGAAACCTTGATTTTTGCCATCCCCCTAGACTGGGTTATCTTGCGCAAAGGGCCGCGGCTGGCAGAAGGGGACTGGGTTGCGGGCCTGGGCGATCCAAAGAGTGTAGGTAATGTGATAGAAGTGTGGGCGGATGAAGCCCAGACCTGCACAAGATCCGGGTGTTACAAGACAAAGATGTGTGGATCGCATATCAGCCAGACACTCCCATGGTTGAGCTTCCAATAGACCCCGAGGAGTGGCAGTGGTCCCCTCCGCGCAAACGCAGGACCGGAGAGAATATGAAGCTGCATACCTTAACAGTGAAAGCTACCTATCGGCTGCTGCGCCAAAAAGTGAACATAAAAGAAAGGGTGAAGGATCGATGGAGATCTCATCTGAATGTTGGAACTGAAGCAATCCGCCCCATCCGATGGTTCTCCACCACAAGGTCCAGGCCAGTGAAGATGGCCTCGCTACAATGGCAGATAGAGCACCGCTGCCTGCCCACCAACGACTGGCTGATAGACCGAACACATCTTGAGCAGAAAGGAAGGGCGCTACGATGGTGTAAGTCGTGCCACACGGCCTTCCCCTCCCGAAGAATCCCGGAAACCATAGAACATATATTCATGCAGTGCCCGAGAGCCGTGCTTACATGGCGGTGGTGGGATAGAATCTGGACACACTTAGCTACAGGCTCCAACTGGCCATGGGACTGGAGAGCCATATTATGCGAAACATGGTCCTCCCCTACAGACAACACCTTTGAAAACAACATGTTCAAGATAGGGAGGAGAGTTGTCATGTGGGCCCTTTGGAGGAAACGCTGCATCCTTGCAATAGAAGGGGTCCGCATAGCTGGGGAGGAAGTAACAGACATGATAAAACAGTTCATCCAACAAGAACTCAGGGTACAGTGGCAAAAAGTTAAAAACCAACTAGATCTATTTCAGACATCCAAGGACATAAAACAAGCAATTCAACAATTTTCGGGGGACTGGTTGGGCAATGAGAATGGGGGCTGGATCGCCTTCGTCCGATGGGACGGCGCACCCGCTCAGGAATGCAACCACGAAGAGTTCAGGAGAGATTACCTTATCAGCTTCAGAGACTGGACTACGGTGGGACAGGAGATCCCGCTGAGACCATCCACTGATTTTCCTGACCCATTCCCACCCCACCAGCTGGCAATGGTCGACATGCAATGGTACGGTGCAGGGTGAGCAAGGCCCCAAACAACAGCATAGGGAAGGCATTGGCTAAACCAGCCGCTAGGGAAACATGGGCGATCTGGCGGTCTGATGCAGACTGAAGAGGCAGTGGCCTGATGCCGACAGAAGAGGCAGTGGTCTGATGCCGACAGAAGAGGCGGTGGTAATGAAGAATGTCAATTTGCTGTCAATTTGCTAACCCTGCACAATTAATCCCCTGGAAACAGGGCAATCAATGCTGGCAGGCTGTCGGACGTACGAAGCGCCCAGGTCAAGAATCATTTACACTCTTTAGTAGATATAGTTAAAGATGGGGGGAGGGAGGAATTAGTGTGCAGCAGCAGATACCTGGCACCAGGTTCAGGGGAAACAGGCCGCCCCGCCCCCATGTGTCTCTGACCTGCTCAGTCAATCCCCTGAACTCCAGGGACTCCAGGGTAATCAATGCTGGCAGGCTTCCGGATGTACTCAAATTTCAATTTGCACAAGGGACGTTGGACCCGTTTTCCAGCAGGTGATGCTCCCCACCAATAGATGGAGCGTCTCCCCAGGTGCTAGTGGTGTCTGCTCTTATCAGCAACACTAACACCGGTGGGGGTGTTTTAAAAAAAAAAAAAAAAAAAAAAAAAGACCTTGCTAAGGCTCCTATCCGACAGGTCTACAGATCGAACCCCTATAACCTACAGACCTACGACGACCTACCCACTGGGGAAAGAACACAGGTCGTGGGTTCAACTCCTGGGGTCGACACAGATACTGTACACAGGTAAGGTAAGTCTAGGGATCGAGCCCTGGGATATGCGTCGGCTACTAAGAACAGGTGAATACCGTTTCATCTACTACTACTCTCTTGTTTATATCTTTGTTATGATCCTGGTGCTATCAGACTCGTTCTCATTCACACCTTTCATGCATGTAAACAGTAGCGCAGCAAACTGGCGACATGCACCCACTCAAAACTCAGAGATATGGCATCCAGATACGAGCTCACTTTCAATTGGCTATGGCGACTCAGCGCCAAACAACTCACTGTTCACATACACTGGATCACCCTGGATATCCCACGCGCGCCTCTCTGAACTCACACACACACACACACACTCGCTACACACTAACTCTAGCTATGGCGGCTATGGCCGCAACTACCCTATCGCTATGCTACGCTCCTTCTCTCTCGCCCACTTCAACTCCTGGCTCACTGCAGACCTCCTTGCACAAGTCGTTGTGGGCGCGCTTCCGCATGGCTCACGCAGGAATGAATGAAAGGCTGGGCGCTGCCTCTTGATATATACTTCTGAAACTCGTTGTTCAGCCCTCTTCCATCGGCCCATGGTGCTCACAGTCCCTTGTGGTACTTGCTGGACCGGACTTGGGACTGACTGGACCTTACCGCTGACTGAGTGGCGACTCACTGCTAACCTACCGAAATCGTACTGCAATTGCACTGCAGTTTAGTCCACCACTTGACTCACCACTTGCCCACTTGCCCACTTGCTGACCTTCTAGAAGGACTACAGCTAAGACTTTTTGAACTCGCTAAGACTTTGATCCTACAGATCTACAGATCGAACCCCTCTGCTATGGATCGAGCCCTGGGATCTGCGTCGGCTACTACGAACAGGTGAATACCGTTTCATCTACTACAAGACAATAGTAGTAGATGAAACGGTATTCACCTGTTTGTAGTAGCGACGACCTACCAACTGTTTACGAACACGCAGGTCGTATGTTCAACTCGCGGGGTCCACACAGATACTGTACACAGGTAGGGCAAGATCTAGGGATCGAACCCTGCGATCTGCTTCTGCTACTGCAAAGAGGTGAAAACCGTTTCACTCCCGCCGTCCTAAATTCAAGGTCCTCCGAGAATATTTCAGTCCAAGGCAGGACTTTTACTCTTATAGTCACACTCGTAGGCTCTGACTATGTCGGGAGCTGTTTCTAGAAGTTCTGTTCTAGTAAACCAGCGGTCGTCTTCCGGTTTTTGGTAAGCAAAGCGGACCTTATACTGTTTCTGTGGACGACCTCTACCTCCTGTTCTAAAGACATCTTCATCTACAATGTCGTCAATGTCATAACTTCCATCCATATCCGGGGGGATCATGGATCTTCTTGAAGGGAACTGTTGACTTGTGACACACGGTAACAGCTTTGAAGCATGGAACACAGGGTATGTGTGGAGGTCTGCTGGAATCTCTATAGTGTAGGACGGTCCATCCTCTCCGCCCTTGACTTCTAGAACCGGCCACGGTCCTCTATATGCACGCAACAACTTCTGCGAGATGTGCTCCTCAGGTGCAAACTCTTTAGACTTGACCCAGACCAAGTAGCCTACTTGAACCTGCGAGGGGTGACGGTGCTTATTGGTCTGTTCTATCATTCTGTGTTGGGCCTTCCTGAGGTTCTCAACAATTGTAGCTAGCTCCTTCTCGTGCTGTATCGCGAACTCCCTGGTTCCGGGCGGTAGCCTGTGAATCTGATACCGGTTCAGTCCTTCGAACGGCCTGCGTGGTCTAAAGGACTTGTGCAGCTCATTGGGAGTGCGACAGGTGGATAGATGCATGCTGTTATTGTATGCACTAGCTACCTTAGGCAACATCTCATCCCAGTTGATCTGGTCGGGTCTAATATACATGCGCAGAACTTGCTGTAGGATCTTGTTCATCTGTTCTGTCTGACCGTTGGTCTTTGGATGACGGCGAGATGACATTAATAACTTTGACCCGTAAACTCTCATGAGTTCTTGCCAGTTCTGGCTGGTGAAACTATCTCTGTCGCTAACTATGGATAAAGGGACTCCGTTCTCACTAACCCAATGATAAAAAAACTTTTGAATAACTAATTATGTGCGTGCCTCTGTAGGCAAAGGAACAAAAACGGCATACTTGTTAAATCGGTCAACTATGACTATGACTTGGCTCTTGCCATGCCTACTCTTGACCTGAGTATCCATGAAGTCTACGGACACGGAATCTCCAGGCTGATCAGGAATAGGCAGAGGTCTTAGAAGACCTAGAGGTGCGCGCGTAGTAGTCTTATTCCTCTGCCACACTTTACAACTGCGAACATACTCTATGCAGTCATTCTTCATCCCTGGCCAGGTATACGCACGCATCAGGTTGGCTAATGTCTTTTGCCAACCAAAGTGTCCCTCTATGTCATGGCATTCCCCTAGGATCAGGCTACGGATCTCCTCGCTGTTGGGGACGCATAGACGGTCGAACACATTAGTCTTCTCGAATAGCAAACCCTCTATAGTGCGGTAATCTGACTCTGTCTCTGGGGCTTCTCTAACTTTCTTTAGGAGGTCACTATAGATAGGGTCCTGCGCATACGCTTGCCTCACTTTCTCCTGCAGGTCTCTCCCTATATCCAGATAGTGTATTATAACTCCAAAGTAGTCTGATCTTTTACTCAGAGCATCGGCGACTACGTTATACTTGCCTTTGACAGACTTAAGCTCAAAGTCATATTGGTCTATCTCAGCGGCCCACCTAGTTAACTTAGGTGTCATCTTGGCCTGAGTCTTTAACCATCGAAGCGTTTCATGGTCAGAATAGACTTTGAAGTGCCTCCCAAGCAGGTAATGCTTCCAATGCTCTAAGGTCTGCCTGAGAGCGTAGAGTTCTCTCTCATACGTCGAGGTGGCTACTTTCTCTGAAGGCATCCTCGCGGACATGAACTCTACGGGTCTATAGCCATTGCCGTCATCTTGCTGCAACACGACGCCTATACCATATTGACTCGCGTCCGTGGTGACGACAAATGGCAGAGACAGATCTGCCACTTTGAGGACATGGTACTCTATTAACACGCGCTTCAGTCTCTTTAGCGCAGACGTACAATCTTTGTCCCATTGCCAGATTGCCTCTTTCTTAAGCAACCTGAGCAAGGGAGCGGCGATAGTAGAAAAGTTCCTTACGAACTTTCTATAGTAGTTAGCTAGGCCTAAGAAAGACCGCAACTCTGTCAATGTGTGGGGCGTCGGCCAATCTCTAATCGTCACTATCTTACTGTCCTCTGGCTTAATGCCATCTCCGTCTAGTATGTGGCCCAAGTACAGGACTTGCGTCTTGGCCCACTCACACTTCTTCGCGTTGATCTTGAAGTTAGCCTCTCTAAGCTTCTCCAAGACCTGCCTCAAATGACCCTGATGCTCTTGGAGGGTCTTGTTGAACATTAATATATCATCTGAGTAGACTACTACAAACTTATCTAACCACAGTCTGAAAAGATCATTCATACAATGCTGAAAGGTGGTTGGCGCGTTGGTTAGTCCAAAGGGCATCACGATGAACTCATAGTGCCCATATCTAGTCTGGAACGCAGTCTTGTACTATTTATCAGGATGGACTTCTATCTGATGATAACCGGACTTTATATCTATTTTAGAGAAATACTTACAACCCTGCACCCGATCTAAGAGATCGTCTATCCTGGACAGCGACTCAACATTCTTCACTGTAATAGCATTCAAACCCCTGTAGTCTATACACATTCTCAGCTCTCCTTCCTTTTTGGGGACAAACAAAACTGGTGTTCCAAAAGGAGACGAACTGGGCCTGATCCAACCTTTCTCTAGGAGCTCGTCCAACTGCTTGCGTAGCTCCTCTAACTCTCAAGGGGACATTTTGTAGACTACTCCCTTAGGAGTTCTACTGCCAGGCTCTATCTCTATCCTGTGTTGGATGGGTCGCGACACTACTATGTCGGCGACTCAGTCAAATCTTTGAACTCTTCCAGCAGCTTGAAAATGGTTGGATCTATGGAAGTCACCTCTTCCTTAGCCTCAGTGACAGGTCTTACATAAACTACAAAGACATGATCCTCTAACTGCTCCTTTTCCATTAGTTGCGTGAACGCGGGAGCACTGAGACAACAGTGTGCCAGAGTGTTATGTACACCTGACACATGAAACAGGCGGGCAGTCTTAACCTCGTCTGACGGACTAGGGAGCCTACACTCATGCTCTCTCAAGTGGAGTGTGGCCCCTGCTGCCTCTCCCCAATCCATTCCTAACACTATGTCGAAAGGAATGTCATCCTGAACGAGGAGAGTCAGGGAATGGAGAACTTTCTCCACTTTCCCATCTTTCTCTAGGCGAAAGTACGCCTGGACTCCCTCTACGTAGTCCTCAACTCGCATTGTGCAGTTGTCTGCGAGGACACTGACTATGGGGTCTGCTAACTTTTGGACTTTTAATCCTAGCCTCAGCTTCTTCAGCGCCCTACGGCTAATGTAGCTACGGGTAGCCCATGAGTCTATAAGGGCCCCTACTCTGCTTCTAAATAGTTCTACATCTACCAAAATCAGTTGTCCTTTGCTCTCCTTCTTCATTTTGGCCTAGGCTGGCATCCTCTCCTTCAGCTCTTCTGCCACGCCTGTGAGGGACGTGCCTAGAGAGACGCTAACACAAGTAGTCTCTGGACAGCTAGCTAGGCACAAGCCTGCAACCTCTGCCATAGGCTCATGTGGTTTGGGAGTTTCCTGTGTGCGCTCGCTCGCTTCCCCACATGGCCTTGAAGTAGGGGCAGTTGCGACCCCTACTGGCAGCTGCCTTTTGACTGTTGGGCAGCCCAACGGGCCTGTCTATACTTAGGACAAGATTTAATAACGTGGGCCGGGTCACCACAAAACACGCATTGACCCAAGTCCACCCGTTCCTACCATATACGCTGGTCCAAGCCCAAATCCTGCCAGGGCCTGCCCTGTGGCAAGCTTAGGTGCCATCCTCCTTGAGGTGGCCTTCCACCTCGTCGATGTGGGGACCGACAAGAACCTTGACGATTTGGCGGGGGACCTTGAACCCTACCTCCCACTTGGCGGTTCCCTTGTCCGCCAACCCCCTGTGCGCCCGGTCCTCGGCCTCCCATGGCCTGGCCCCTTTGGCCCTGGCCTCCTCCTCTACCTTGCGGCCTCCCTCCAGCCGCGACAGCAGCATAGGACCTCCCTTGCCCCACGCTACTATCCTCCTCCTCAAGGCCCCACTCGATCTGACTATATGGGACCTCATCTATACCACCTTCCTCTAAGGTAAGGATCATGTGATCCTGGGCCCTGATTTGGCCTAAGATGGTACAACCTTTCCACTTCTTCCCCTTGTCCAGATCCTTATGCCAGAAAGTGGACACTGCATGGACTTGGCCTCGAACAGCACCACCTCTCTACTGAGCGCATCGTACGTCATGGTGGGTTGTCGGAACTTGTCAAAGGAGTGCCCACGCAGGGGCTCTGGCATGGCACGATAAAATAGCTGGACCAACTGGGACTCAGTCACCCATGGTCTGGGATGGCAACCAGGTCGTCCATCACTGCCATGAGTGGATAGTTTGGAGCTTGTCAGAGGCTCTAACGCCTCTGCGAAGATCAACGAATCGCTCCCTAAGGAGCTTAAAGAACTGAGGGAGAGGGGTAATCTTGGAATAGGCGACCATGTTGTTTTCACAACCGGCCGCGTGCGCAAGGGACCTAGCAAAACTAGCCGCTTCGTCCTTGAGGGGCTGGAAGGCAACCAGGACCTGATCGTCCTGTACGATGTGTTGTAAGTAAACGTAACTGTTTACGCTAGCCTCCCAGTTATCGAAGTCAGATTTCCCACCATAAGCATCGGGGAACTTAAGTTTGACTGGTTCTTTGCGAGGTTTGGCCTCGCCCTCAACAACGGCTACTACTTCGGCGCCCTCAATGGCACCCTCACAAAACTTCCCCACGTTGTCTCTAAATCGCCTAACTTCCCCTCCAACGTGGGTAACCATCTCGCGCGCAAAATCCCGAAAACTGGACCGCATGGCCTTCAAGGCTACCTCCTGAGCTCTATTGGCTTGGCGTTCCTCCATCCAAGCTGCGCTCAACACCTCCAGGTAACCCAACACCTTATCCCATTTGGCCGAGTCGTCTGCCTGAGCCTCCACCTCTTGCCTACAATCCTTCATCTTCGCCACCTCTGCGGTCAACCTGTTAAC